ATGGAACAATTAGTGCGGGTACTACAGGTACCGGCATCAACGGATTTATTCAAACATGGCTTTTTAAAAAATGGTGTGAAGAGCCTCGGATCAACCCAGGTCTGAGAGCAGACGGCCATCACATCATCACGCAGAAGTTCATCTGCTTAGCGCTGACTCCTCCATTTTACAACAGAAAAAATGTGCTGGCTGATAGTGTGGAAAACAAATGCACCATAACAGCTTATTATGTGTGCAAGAAGCTGTAATGAATGTATGCGTGTAAGTTCCAACATTGAGCTGAGCTTGGCATGAAAAGGATGAAAGATGAGTAAATAGGCTCTACATTAAGATCTACATTAATAAAATCTTAATTGATATTTCAGGTGGGATAAAAAGTAATGTGACTCCATTTCAATAGTATCTTAAGTGAGGTACACGGCCTGACTCCCCCCTCATGACAAAACTAAGAAAAGTCCTGATTTTTTGATTATTCTAACGTTTATCTTGCCAGATTTTAAAAACAATATTAAAATATGATGTTGAGGCTGGCGGGGAATCATTCAGGGAGGAGTCCTCTGCTGACAAATAAACAAGGGGAAAAATGTTGACGTCAATTTGGAAAGTACTGCCTCAGCAATGACGCCAAATGACAGCTTAAAGAGAATGTCAGCTCCAATGAAAGTTAAAGAGGACATATTATCCCCCTTCTCCACCTTTTCAAACAGTCCCCTGTGGTCTAAATGAAACATCTGTGCTGTGCTTTGGTCAAAATATAACATGAATCAAGCACCAGAGGAGGTTTGTGACCCTGTATAAACCAGCTCTCTCAGAACGCTCCGTTTTGGTGTGTGTGTCTCTTTAAATGCAATGAGCCCCCCCTGAGTTTTTCCCGTAGACATCACTCCTTCGCTAGCAAGAATAAAAGTTTAGCTCTAGGCTGGGGGTGGAGTCCATGGGTGGAGATATCAGGGGAGGGGAGGTTTTTTTTTTTTTTTACCAGAATCCCACTGTGACATCACCAGGAGAGCAAATTTGAAACTGAGCATTTTTCTCTGTGTTGTAAGACTTATGCAGCGCACAAACAAAGGACTGGATGGGTTTATTTCACATTTTGTGGGTCGGTAGACACTCAGGTTACCCAAATATATGTTCAAAAACACTGTAGAAGTGGATTTTTCATAATATGTCCCCTTTAACAATATGTTGTTTTTCATCAACATCATGTAAGCATCAAAACGAAACCAGTATTTTGTAAACTAAATTATTTTTCTTTGAATAGTGGCGTTCTTCTGAGAATAAAATGTCGAAATAGTCAGAAACAAAATCAAAAAAATTAATCAGTTTTCTTCTGCAAACATGCGAGTCATGGGAACAGTTTAAACAAGCGTATTGTACTGCTGTTATAAAATCCTTGTGCAGCATTTTATAATGCGACACATCTTAAATGAGCTCCATCAGGACAGGAGCGCACCGCTTTGATTACTGTTACACATAATTCACCCATTTCTCTTTGTTCAGTCACGGTATCGACTGTCCTCGGCAGCGTTTGTTCTGCCAACACTCCTAATTTCACACTAATAACCGCGAGTGTTTGCCAATAATAATTGATTCATCTGGAGCTCGGAGCGGAGCATCTGGACCTTTTGAGATTACCTGACAGGGTTTCTGTTGGACCTGATAACTCTGCATTAAAGAGACCACACTTGCATTTGAATTTCCATGTTTGTATGACTCGTAAATTAAACCTTAAACAAAAGTGGAATTGATTTAAAGGTGAGTAAACATTCTATAGTACTCCTGTTTTTTATTATTTAATCAAGATGTTGTGTGAACCTGCAGGAAGCAAATCTTTGTGTTTATTTAATATTGTTGCAAATAGAAGGAACATTTTATTTTGCCTTGATGTTTGTGTGTCCTCTGGAACTGTAACCACAAGACCCCACTGCGTCCATCTGCGCCGCATTCCTTCCAACGCCCTCCTAAGGTCATTGCGCCTCTAGAGAGTGCTCGTGTTTCCATCTCAGCAAGTCCCAGAAGTGCAACTCTGCTCTCCTTGAAATATGAGCAAAGGGTATTCTCGACGGAAAATCAACAGCAGAGCAACCATGGAAAGGCAAAAGTTACTTGTTGTTTTGTATGTTGTGAACATGCAAATATAATTGAGATGTGCTGCAACCCGCTTCACAAACGGATCCAGTGGGCTATATATAAAAAAGGAAGTGCACCACCAAATTTTAAGGAGTCTACAAATCTATTTCAAATTTGAAATAAATATATTCAGACCCCCTTCTAATTTTGGGAACCAGCGTAAACAGCCACACTTCATGTTGAGAAATTTGACCTTTTACACTGATATTTGTGAGGTTTTCTCACAGTGGATTAAATCAGACCAAAGCAGAGGGAAAACAGAGAGGGGAATGACTGTCAACAAAAGTTCCACTGCTGGATCTGAGCTGTCCTTCCGATAACCAAATGGCTCCAACTTCATGCGACTCCTCAGCCGATGCAGGCGCCACTTCGGTCTGTCATTACCGCCACTGTTTGTTCTGCACTGCACCCAAATAGACCTCTGAATTACTGAATAGATTTCATCGATCAGCAGGTAAACACTGGGGATGATTCCACTGAGTGAATTCAGCTCACATGACACTCTAAATGAAGCTGTCGTAGAATATTGATTTTTCCTCGTCTCGTGTTCTGCGCACTTTGAGTCACAGCCCCGTTTTATGGTGAAGGAGTGGTCAAGTTAATTGACCAGCAGCCCCTCACTAAAGTGCTATACTAATCCCCCTGGAAGCCCTTTTTCTCCATGCCTGTCAGACAGAAGCACCGCCAGGTGACATCTTTTGTGTGTATCGACCTCCTTGTGTCTTGTTCAGTATAATTTCCGAGTGCTTTTGTCTTTAGAGAATTGTTTTTAGGATGATGAGGACGACCGAGGGAGTCTGAGTTTGATGGCTGTTCCAACTTTATTTTCAGCTCTCCACAAAGCTTTATTCTTTAAGTCCCTTTATAAATGAAGATCCAAATCCTATCTATAAGCTGTGCCCATCATTCGAATAAATACTACAAATACAACCGACGTACGTCGTGTTCATACGGTGCGTGCAGTCCTCTAAATTTTGTGGAAATTTCAGACAGCCTGCCCCTGCCATTACCCAGAGTTACTTTCTAAGTTTCTAAGTCTAGGTTTTTACAGGCTTACAACTGCTACAGATGACAGATTTTCTTTGTTCCCTTTTCAGAGAACATGAGTTATTAATGTCTGTCAGGACCTAAAGACAATTTCAACCAAAATCTTAAAAGGTGTATCTGGAGAAAATTAGCAACCCTGGCTTTAATGCTCGTGTTCTTCCAGTACCACTGTCCTACCTTCTAGCTTTTTTGGAAGCTCTTCATTATAACTTAGTCATCACCAGCAGATGGAGTCCAGCTCTTTAGAGGTGTGAGGAACCAGTCAAAATGAGTTGGTTAAAAGTATATATTCAGGTTCTGGTAAAGCATTTTTTCTTATGTATAATTTTCTATGTTGTTCCAAGGTCAAGTGTGTCCTCCCTCCCACCCTCCCTCCCTCTGCAGACCCTGATCACCCCTCACCCATCCAACACTGTGAGTAGCCCCTCTGTGTTGTATGGTGCTGCCATTTACTGGGTTCTATGTGGATGTGATGGAGGTCACATTTAACAATTACTGAAACTCCGCCTGCTTATTATCCCTCAATCACTTACAGCCAGAGCCTCTCTCTGCTGCTATTAACCACTGATTTAATTAAGAGATTGGACTGGATGTACTCAGTGATTGTTAGAGGAGAATTTACATATAACACCAAAACATACAGAAGATCACAACACAAATTCATTTAAAGTTCCTCTGTTTGTGTCTCTGCACAAGCTTTTTTGATGCAGTGTAAGACTTTTAGATGAGGGTAAGAAGCAGAGTGTACATCCCTGCAGAAAGTCATCTAACCCAATTTATCTCACAGACTTTAAAACTAAATAAATCCAAGGCACTGGTGGCCCAGTGTTTAGTTTGCACGCCCCATGTACTGTACAGAGGCTGCAGTCCTCAAATGGGCGGCCCAAGCTAACCGGTAATAAATGATATGGTAATAACCTCAGAACAGCCAATCAGAGAGATTCCTCTCTCCGACGCCAATTCAACATGTCGAAGCGGCCAAAAAAAAGGTTGACGGGGGGGGCGACGGGTAGCGACGGAGCCGGACACACCGCAAAAACTAGGGCGACAACCGCTCACGGACCGTCCAATTAGGACAAATTAAGGGTGTCCGGTCTACAAGAAAAGAGAGAGAAAAAAAAAAAGATACAAACATACACTTGAATTATACACACTTACACACACTCACACAAACACACACTTACACACACACAAACAAACAGGGCCCTTCAACACCCTCAACATACAAAGTTGCTAAACGTTATTATTACTCCCTGCTTGCCTGTTTTGTCTTTGTCTATGCTGTGCATTGTATCGTCGTGTCTCCCCTGTCTCCTACATACTACTGCTCTTGTTATGTCCCTCACTCGTCTTGTGTTGTTCTGCATCACCTAATAAAAAAGAAACAAAAGAAAAGAAAAGAGAGAATTACCTTATGAAGGAAAATCGTACATTTCAAAGGACAACGAACACAACACGCTTCTAAGAAGAGAAAAGACGTCAGTGGCAGGTTTGGGTTCAAAGCTGCTTCATATCTGGAACAAAAGCAGCACAAAGACTCTTTGGGGTCGTCCTTACATGCCTGATTACTGTTTATTTCCGATGTAACGGCTGTGATGTTTGAACTCTGTTGGAGGCATAAACAGCCCCTCCCCCCATCCAAACTCAGCTAATGGCTTCTGCGTTGTCCATATTGAAGTCTTTATATTTCCACATGGATTACGAGGAATTCACCGCGAACACTGAGGCTGACAGAAGCATAGCTAATGTGAACTCTGCTGATCTGTGTATCTCCTTGAGCTCACACTTAACTCATGCAAAAGAAAGTGGACAACAAAAAGCACTTATTGCTGACTTAATGTGCCGGCAGAGCGGCACGAGGAACCTCTTTTTATTGTCACAGGAAAGAGACCATACAGCACTTTTACACAATCAAGTATCCCTAGCTTCATGAGTCCCACTCTCCATCTGCAGCTCTGAGGTAATATATTAACGGGCCGATACAAACAGCCCCCTTCCGTTTGATTTTTACAGTCTTTGTCACTTCCTGTCCTCCTGGATGTCAAACTGTCTGTTTGGTTTGGTGGACTCCAGCATGAGTTCGTACAGTTGGCCGATCTGATCCCCCTGGAAGTCGCTGAGTTTCCCCTCGCACAGGTCCGCCCCAAGTTTCCCAGGGCCGAGTCCCTCCCCTGCCGACTCCAGGACTTGAGACTGCAGGGTGTCCTTGTAGTTCTGCGAGGAGGAGGGGGGTGGGGGGTGGGGGGGGGGGGGCAGAGACACAAACTAGTTTAGATTGAGACAGGAATAGCAGCAATCATCTGGCACCTGGGCTTCCACCTCATCTCCACTTTCAGATTCATTAAACACGTCACTCATTTGATTTGAAAGGTGTACTTATTTATTTTTTCAACCATCACCAGTGAATGTTACTCCCAGTAAAACTTTGTATTTATAGGACAGCCTTCTTCTTCTGTGACTTTCAGAACTTTCAGCTGTTCAAACGGATCACCAGCATTGCGTCACATACTGTAGGTCGACGTGTTTCATTACCATGAGCTCGCTGTCGATGATTTTAATTCGAGTCTATAACACCAAATGTGGAGTCATGATTATTACCTGTGCTTGTATTTCAATCATGTCTTTAAGATTTTTTTCCCCCTTAAAAGCAGTTTACATGTCGATCCACACCTGCCAGCATAGTGTCAATCAGCCTATTGGTGGGCAAATCTGCAGACTGTATGTGTTTTTTTTTTTTTTTAAATGATTATATCCTGATGAAGAAACGTTGTTCTTATTTAACACAATTTAAAAGTTGAGCCATACTGTTGACCGCTTTAGCTGTGGATGCTGGCATGTCTGTATATAAATGCACCAAGCAGCAACCTCAGGTGTTGATGAAATGAGGCTAATGCAGAGGTGCAAAACAACTGCAGTTCCTCAAGTGTCCATTTGAGGCCGGCTGCAAACGTCCTGGCCTCTTTAACAACTGTTTTTAAGATGCTAATTTTTACAGCCGAAATAAACCGAGGGCGCATAGATCTCCCGTGGTGTCTGGTTCAGCCTGTGCACGATGAGTCAAAGCCGTCCACCTCCTTATGTTCCACGTCTGACAAAGCCACCCATCACTTAAACAAAGAGCACCACGTACTGAATCTCTGCGGTCTCCCATCCACAAAGAATCTGGAGTTTTTTGGAACACTCTCACTGTATAGCCATAAAGAGGCATTCATCTGAGATGCTTCCCCCCCCCCCCCGCTCATAATGTGATTATGTTGGACAGTAGCCAGCAGGAAACATCCTCCCTGACGCAGCTCAAAGGAACACCCCGACACTTTGGCACACTTCGAGATGTTTGACATTGAGGGACTTTTTTGGGGGGGATGTCTGGGTGGAAAATGTGTCTGCTGTTCTCTCCCTCTTGTTGTCTGTCACATTAACAGGAGTCTGACTTCATCACATCATCATCATCATCACTTTGATGATTTTATCTGGGAAAGCTGAGTCACCAGTACAGTCGCATTGAGGATTTTATTTCTTTTGTTTAAACCATGACTTTAACTTTAGAAATACAAATTGGTCAACAAAACCAGAACCAGAACAGTATCAGCCAAATCAATCTGGTCCTTTCTTTGCTTTCTTCTAGTTTTCACATACATACTTTCCAAGCCCAACGCAGTTTTTGGCAGACGGCTGTTCAACATGAGTCTGGTTCTGCTCGAGGTTTCTGCCTTGTAGAAGAGGTTTTTTCGTACCACTGTAAGGCTCAATCAACATTTAAGGTTCAAGTGGCTCCGCTTGCCCGGTCATTTCGATTTGCCAGGAAGATCAGACCTTACCTGTCAGAACACGCTACACAGCTCCTGGTACAGAGTCTTGTGATATAACACATTGACTATTGTAACTCCCTACTGGCAGGTCTTCCTACTGATCCAGAACACAGCAGCACGACTGGTCTTCAACCTTCCTAAAAGAGCACACGTCACTCCGCTGTTCATCTCCTTCCACTGGCTCCCAGTTACTGCTCGCATCAAATTTAAAACTCTGCTGCTCACTTACAAAACAGAGACAAAAACAGCTCCTCCTTACCTAAATCTAAAATCCAGGTCTACACTCCCCCCCCCCCACTACGCTATGCCAATGAAAGGCGTCTGATCCAACCTCCAACAACAAGACTCTAACTAGACTCATCTCCTCTGTCGCCCCCCGGTGGTGGAACAAACTTCCAAACTCCATTCGATCTGCAGAGTCCCTTTGCACCTTTAAGAAAAAGCTACACCGACTACCTTCTTAATGATGATGTTGACGATGTTAGGATGGTTTTGATTCTGATTAGAACTCTCAAGATCAGCTGTCGATGTTGTGCTCTGCATCTCTGGTCACTTCCTGTCAGCACCTGTGTGTCCGATCGGACTTAAAGCTAATCGCTTGCGCCTACTGACGTTGTTTCCACCTCTCTAGATCCTTGCTTTTGTTGTTCTTACTCTCTGATGTTCGTCGCTTTGGATAAAAGCGTCTGCTGAATGAATTGTAGAATACTTCTGGAAGGCCTGAATTGTTACTGATTTGTCAATTTGAGTTATTTATTTGTTACTATAAATGACTATAAAAACTGAGAGTGAGTAAGTTGGGAAATATTATTTTTGTTACTTAGTTGCCTAATAATTGTGCTCAGCTTTTTATTCCCCTGACACAGACACAACTCACTTTTCCTTTATTTTATTTTTTTCAGGTTTGAGGTTCAACGACATTTTGGATCGACTAAGAGCATTTGATTTTTTTTTCAAGAATAAAATATATTCTGAAAAATATAATTTGCCTAATAATTGTGCACACAGTGTTCTGCCCAAATCACTGCTGCCGGCTGAGGCAATCTTCTGGAGCAATTACAAAACAGTTTGTGCAGATTCATCTTAGTACAGCCCAGGTTTAAAGTGAGAAAATGACTGTTCAACCACGACGGTAAAGAAAGTGTGTTTGTACCTCTTTTTTACTTTTAAACACATTTCTCTTCAGGGAGCGCTTGTTTGGCCCAGCGGCGCCGATTTATTAAAGCGAAGAACTCCCCTGAGTGCCTCTGAAAATAAATGGATTACACACTGAACGCTCAGTGCTCGTAATCTCATTCAGAGTCTCGCTCCACGTCTGTTCCTGCTCCTCTGGATTTTTCTGAGGAAGTGGACATTCAGTGGAAATTCGCTTCCGTTTGAAGGAAAAGGAGAGGACGGAGTCAAAGTTTGACTTGCAGATAGAATTTGTCGCACATACCACAGTTGGTGCAACAGTGTGGAAATTAACTTTTCATACGTTTCATTAATGCTGTGTGTCACTAGACCACATAAATGCAAGTCACTGCTTTCATGAAGCCCCTTAAGAGATAGGACAAAAAGTGGGGTGATGGTGGCGCAGTGGTGCGCGCGCCCCATGTGTGGAGGCTTTGGTCCTCCAAGCGGACGGCCCAGGTTCGAATCGCACCTGTGGATCCTTTCCCGCATGTCATTCCCCACTCTCTCTCTCTCCCTGGTTCCCGACTCTATCCACTGTCCTATCTCTAAAAGTAAAGGCATCAACAGCCCAAAAATAAATCTTAGGAAAAAAAAATAGGACAAAAGATATGGCTACAGAAATCATCATCCTGCTGTGTGTGATCGGTTATACAATTGCTGGTTCTAAACTGTCTGATATTAATTAAAAAATACAACACATGGATGTCAATCTGATACGATACATCACTGTAAAGTTGCTTAATTGCAATATATCAATCATCACAGTTTCTGCTTTTTTCTCAGCTCTTTTTTTGCAGGTCACGTTAAGAGTTAAACATATTCTCTCTTGGGTTTGAAAACCTGGATCTATTTTAAAAAAAAAAGAGCTTTTAAATCTCCTGTCATTAAAGTATCTGTCTCCATTGGGCCAACAGGTCAGCTCCGATGTTTTTCAAACCCATTACTTGTGGACTTTGTTGGACTTCTGTTGTTCTGGTTTGACTCGGTGATGCTGCAATTAAACAGGGATCTCATTGTTTGTGTGACATAAAACCTCCCAGTGGCTTCAGCCCAAACAAAAATTCCCTAGAAATGTTTCCACTGTTTCCATTCTGCCAAAGCAGGGGAGTAAATTTAGTAAAAGCTGCTCATCCCTTCATTTGGACCAACACAAATGGACTCTGGCTTTAGCAACAATGCATACTGATAGAGTGAAGCCTAATGAAAGTGATTGCCTCTTCCCCCGGTGGACTCACAGCTCCGCCACTGACAAAGACACCTCTCAGGAATCCAGCTGCAATCATCATCTACTTCATTAGTGAAATTACCTGCAGACGGGTGATTCACCGTCCCCGGGCGGTGCGTAATTGTGCAGGAAAACATTGCGTCTCCCCCATAGTGACATAAAAAAAAAAAAGACATGACACACTCTCATGTTGAAATGAGATACTTTGGGAACAAGAGGACGAGTTACTGGACTATGCCAGGGGTTTTTCCTGGGCTACAGCAGGCTTTTGGATCTGATCAGATCACACCTGGGAGACAAATACATTTAAAATCTATAGTGTTTCATACCCAACTCTCTCTCCTACTCTACCCACTGTCCCCTCGAATAAAGGCAGAATGAAGTCTTTAAAAATAAATCTACACTGTGATCAATATCCAGAAGAAAGAACACGTGGTTGAGTTATAGTCGTATACCTGCAATAATCCTTAGCGGCCACAGGAGGGCAGTGAAGTACATATCAACCCTCAGAGTTCGGCATGCATCTCTCCGCTCCATGTTGCAAACTGATGTAAATTGACTGCTCTAATTCTCTTGCATCACTCCTGTTTGTTTCATTCCTAAAACCAGCGTCAGCGCGATGCTGAACCAGCACAGCGCCGTGTTTAAATTTACGCATCGTGGAGAACTTCACCACAAATGTCAAGACAGTCTACTCTTTCTTTTATACTTTGCAAAAGTTTGGTACTTCCCTTGAATTACCAAACGAATCATGCACATTTACTTTCTAAAAATGCTGAGGTGCTGGTGGCGCATTGGTTAGTGCATCCTACCCTGCGCGCCCCATGTACAAAGGATGTAGTCCCTCAAGCGGGCGGTCCGGGTTCGAGACCGACCTGTGGCTCCTTTCCCGCATGTAATTCCCAACTCTCTCTCTCCCCGATTCCAGACTCTATCCACTGTCCTATCTCTACGATAAAGGCATAAAAAGGCCAAAAATAAATCTTTAAAAAGAACAAAATACTGATAATTACCTGTTTTGTGTTCTCTACATGACATTTATGACATACCTAACAGTGTTCTGAGATAAAAGAAGTTCACATTTCTCCATTGATTTATTTGCTCGAGCTGGTCACAATCTCAACATTGACCGGCCACATATTGATATTCTGTTTGTTTTTTTAATTATGGAAATGGGCTCAAATCATAGTGCGTTGAACAGCGTCACACAGGGCATTGACTCACTCAGGGTTTCCTTGCTCCCTCACGTTCTCTCTTTTATATAAACAACAGATGTAAACACCCGTCTGTGCACATTGATGCATCAAAACATGATCGTTCTCAATTGATTCCTATTTTCGGTGTGTTTTATCCCATGTTAGTCATCGAATACTCTTACAATCACAGTTTGTTTGTTTGACTCAAGTTTTAAATGTTGACTTAAGATCCAACACACACAAACTAACCAACGAGGCAGCTGCAGTGTACTGAAAGGTAAAATCAGTGGGTGTGTCAATGGAGTCTGGCGGCTGGCGACATCCCAACTCTGATTTCACATTTTACATCCTGCGCCTTGAATGTTTACCAGAGCTGCTCTGCCCTCTTGTGGCGATAGACCGACATAACACTGCTTCTGTGTAAGACCTGAAAGACAATAATCACAGAGCGGCAGCTACCAACGACAACACAGAAGGCATCATCCTCAGTGAATCTCCAGAGGGTTTATGTTACTATCAGGGAGCAGATTATAGAATATAAATATATGTAAGTGCAGCACTTTAAACATAGCTTTTTGTGTTTATTCAAATGTTATGAAGTATTCTTATGTACGTTTAGTGTTTGTTTTTGTCTGTTTTCAATTCTGCTTTTTTCAAAGTCGCTGTGCAGCACTTTGGTAGACTTTAGGGATGTAATGATTCACTCAACTCAAGATATGATTCTCTCACTATTCATTTAACAAAATGAGACTGTAGACAGATGATGAGTGAAAAAGATTCCTTTAGGAGCTGCTAACCTGCTTGTCAGTGTGGTTTGGCCTTTTAATGTTTTTTTCTCTCTCAACAAGGGGAGGTGATTGAAGCTTCTCCTTGTGGTGTGGATTAAATGCTGCATCATGTTGGTTGTTCTATTTGTGTATTTCTCTGAGAGTTTTTGTCTCGTCTGTTATCTTCTCACCTCTTTCATTTTCTGTCTTGGGGGAAGCCAAAATGCTTCCACACCTCCGATTTAAAAGACGGTGGTGCATCCTCAATTTAAAAATCTTGCTCTACAGCTGCTGGCGCTCACCATATTACTGCGATTCATTTTTCAGAGTACCGATGTGAATCCTGACACCTTTGAATCCATTTATCAAGATTTTAAGATTTAATCTTTACATCCCTAGTAGACTTTTGCACTATTTAGAATTTATTACTGTAAATATTATTTATCTTATTTTATTTGATCTATTTTACCTTATTTTATTTAATCTATTTAATCTTATTTTACCTTGTTTTATTTTAACTATTTTACCTTATTTTATCTTATTTTAACTTATTTTATTTGATCTATTTTACCTTATTTTATTTTATCTATTTTATCTTATTTTATTTTATCTTATTTTATCTATTTTATCTTATTTTACCTTATTTTATTTTATCTATTTTATCTTATTTTACCTTATTTTATTTTATCTATTTTATCTTATTTTACCTTATTTTATTTTAACTATTTTACCTTATTTTATTTTACCTTATTTTGGTTGTATTGCACAGTGGGACGGAGACAAATGCAATTTCGACTCCACTGTATGTCTGGCATATTTTGAAATTGACAATAAAATGAAATTGCTGTTTATAAATGTGCTTTACAAATAAAGACAATTGGATTGAAAATGTGCAAGCTTCTAGTTTATGAAACGATTTACATGCATAACTTTAAGAACTATTTACAACATGCAGAGTTAATGTGTTTTATTTTTGTTTTTATTATGTCTTTGGCCCCCAAGTGTTTTGTGAAGTCAAAGTGGGGTCACAAGCCAATAAAGGTTGGGAACCACTTCACTAAACAACAAATTAAACTGTACTATCTACTGGAAGAGTAGTTAAAGGTGTGTTTTGATAATGTGTCCTGGTCAGCCTCTTCAAAAGGACTCTAAATGTGGATCTTTCTGAATGGGGTTTGGTTGGGGGGGCTGTCCTGGGTCGGGTTTGTTTACCTCCCACTCCGACATGAAGTTGTTGACCTCTTCGGGTGATGCACTCTTGTGTCTCCTGAACTCGTCTTTCACATACTGGTCACCGAGGGCTCTCAGGTCGATGGGCAAGAACCGATGAAGGACCAGAATCCTCTTGTACAGTGACCGGACTTTAGGTAAGTGAGCAGAAACCGCCATGAAACCGGAAGTCAACCGTCTCAAACAGAGCGCACGGACAAATCAAGATCCTTACGGCAGTTCGGTGAAGCTAAAAAGTGGAAGACTTAACTGAGAAACAGAAACAAACGACCACAAGGATAGTTATTCAACCTGTCCTTGTTTATCTCGGATGTCAACCTTCTTCTTCCTCTAAAGGAGGATACTAGTTATAAGTGCATTACCGCCACCTGCTGGACTGGAGGGGTACTGAATTCTTTGTACAGTTTTCTCCTAATTATTAATAAATTAACTAAATATCTTTGTTGGAGCTATTTAATTGGGATTAAAATTAGTTTTTGTATTTAGTTTACTAATATTTGGGTGGTGTTGCTAATTTAGTTATTCTACACGTTTTCTTTATTAAGAAAAGACTTTGGGTAACGTTTTCTTTTTTGCTAGTTATTTGTTCAGTAAATTTAGTTCTGTATTACTATTTTTGTTAGGTATTTGGGTAATACTGTGGGCACCGGAGATTATTTAAGTAAGAGGCAGGTCCTCCACCTGCCTCAGCATGCACCTGGGTGGGCCTATTGTTTTTTATCAGGTCAAGAGAGGCAGTGGGAGCCACGATTTTCTTTGCTCTTTTGTTTGTTTTCCTCAAATAAACCAGCAAAATACCGCAGCTCTTGCATGGACATTGGATTTCTTTTGCCTGCGTACATTACATCCCCCATGGTGCATCAGTGGTCATTTGATTATTTTTTATATTAATTTATTTCGATTTTTTTTGTTGTTTTTTGGACAAATAGCCACTACAATCTTAAAAGATATATTTTGATGAAATGAAAGCTGCACTTCCTGGGACACACTGAAGGTTCTCAGTCTTCTCAGCAGACTACCTGGGCCCTCCTCATACGTTTTTTTTTTTTTTTTTAATCTATGTGGATGCCGAGGTAGCCTACCTACATTATAGGACTCCACCTGTGCTGCAGTGTGCTCATGGATGACCATTGGTGAGTGATCACCATGATACTTGGTGTTAAACACCATCTCCTCTGTTTTATGTGTTAAAGAGAAGATGTTGTTTGTCACACTATTCTGCAAAGTTTATGATTTTGTGGACTTGTGCAATTAAACATCCGAGTCATTTTGCATAAGGCCCAGGATGGAGACGTCAAACAATAAACTACAGAAGATCCCATCGCTTCATGTCCTGTGGTCATAGGTTGAACGTAAACAGGCCTGAAATGTATCTTTAATTATGTATAAATATATTTTCATCTTTATTTTATGCCGATTGCAAGTCTCAGGATTCATCAGTCTGAGATGACTCAAAAAAAGAAGGAGTGCAATGAAACAGAGAGCAGGCTTCAGGCTGCAACATTTGAGAAGTCTGTAGGGACTCGGGTTAGGAGATAGGGCTTTCATTCCTGAAAAAAACTCCTGAAAAAACTCCTGATATTTCCCAGAAGGAGCTGTATGTGGGAACACAAACAGCCAAATTTTTCACTCGGACTTCAGCCGGCGTTTCTCCTGCAGGACCCCTGTGGTATTTTTGCAGCAAGTCCAAGTGAGCTGATGTGAGAACGCAGCAGGATATTCTCCAGAGAATTCATATCTCGAATTAATAGGAGGGGGGAGTGACGTTCACATCCTGTGACTGCTGCACGGTGCATCGAGTGTATACATGCTACCACTACGATCTCCATGCAATTAATGAAACAGCCGTTCTCCAGTATGTTGTTCTCCACTCTTTTGTTGTTATTGTGAACTACATGTAGCATTGATTTAAAGGCAGACATTCTCATTATAGCATCACATAGCGGACTGTGTTGCTTCGTCTGCTACTTCTGCATCCTTTTTTTACATCATGTCTTACCTAAGCAGACCCCCCCCCGCCCCCCCTCCTATCTGACAGGGATAGTCTCCCGCTTTGAGGAGCATATGTGAACAGCCAGGTCAGGAGACTCTCCAGCGCAGTCCTCCTGAAATTATCTAGATTTTTTCAGAAGTGCATTTGTGAAAAATGTAACACGGCAGCTTGTTGTTTTCACACTTCAGTTTTTGCATGGCTGCTGGTTTGGAGAGGAAACTAGTATCAACTTATGAGCTTTGAAAATACTGGACCCTCTTGGATCCAAACAGCTACTTTGCTTCTTGCTTGAGACCCCTTTAGTGTCCTTCCACTAAATGGTCACTTGAACAGAGTTTATATATTCTAAAAAGAACTTAATACAACCTGAGTACCAGCTGTGTGTTCTCTTAATGTCACGTTTTTTAAAGGTTTAATTTGGGGCTTTTTATGCCTTTATTTTAGAGATAGGACAGTAGATAGAGGCAGACATCAGGGAGGCAGAGAGTGGGGATTGACGTGCGGCAAAGGAGCCACTGGTTGGATTCGGACCAGGGCTGCCCGCCTGGAGGACCATAGCCTCCGTTTATGTATTATTACAGAACATGGGGTGCGCACACCAACCACCAGGCTCCAGACGCCCCTCATGTCAACTGTTGTAAAGGGTCATTAATGAGCGGGAAAATGTTTAAGAAATTATATTCTATTTATTGATTAAAAAAAGTTTTATGTTAATTATGTTCTAAGTGTTCTATTCCTTCTGGCACTTTTACAGTGTTAACAAAATATATCTTACAGACAAAGTGTGCCTCGGTCGATACAACATTCATCATCACGGAGGCGAATACATTTTTTTTTTTTTAAAGTAAACAGAAATAATTCTAATAAATGAGCAACAACATGGAGAAGCTACAACATGATGTGAGAAGACAAGAGAAGCTTACACAGTGAGTTATCAGCACAAAGGACCCAAACCCAGAACCCTTACATTAAAAAAAATGTTTTCTGAACTGTTGGCCTCGTAAACTGAAGAATACATACAGCAAACTCCACTCACAACACAGACTTGATTCTGATGTTTGCTATCTCATGAGACAGCAGCACATCTCCATTTACTCCAAATGGCAACTTGTTATTGAAGTCACAGGACCTAGACCAGTGGTTCTCAACTGGAGGGTCGGGACCCAAAAGTGGGTCACGGAGCCATTTTCAGCGGGTCGTGAACATGTGACTGTGACTGGAAAAAAAAAAAAAACGTGTCAAAAAGTCTATGAAGCGCTCTTAAAACATGTTGGTTTAGTTCCTTCGCTTCGTTCCATCACATGTTTTGTACCATCTGAGGTCCAAACTGCATTTTCATGAAGGCGTAGGTGGTGGGTCCTAACGCTAGGCAAGTTGAGAACCACTGATCTAGACGTACATATTAAAAGGCTATCCTCAAGTTTTTCACCTGGGATGTATTTTTTTTGTGTGTGCATGTTTTGGGGTCTAAATGATGAATTGGCTGATAAAATGTGTTTGCTAATGCAGCAGTACACTCCTCCTCCTCCTCCTCCTTCTCCTCCTCCTCCTCCTCCTATAGGAGAGGCTATGTACTGATGTTTCATCAGCTCAGAGGCTTTTGCTAGTCCGACAGGCGGCATCTACATCTACTGGGAAATGACAATAATGCAAAGTGAAAGAAAACGAGAGGGTTTCTTGTGAGGTGGTTCTGCAGGCCACCGGTCCCCGTTTACATTTACACATTTCTGTCCAAATAATGTGACACTTAAGTGACGGAAACTTAACTAACACAACTGAAAACTGTCAGTACCTCATGCACAGCCAATCTACACGCTCCTGTGAGAATCGCACTTCACCTGCAGCTTTCTCAGTTGCTGGGCAAACAGGAGGAAGCTACAGGTGGAACTTGTTCTCTCACAAAAAAAAAGTCTCAGTGAAGATATTTTCAGTGGTCGGCAGATTATTAAAAAATGTTTTTTACTGTATATTCCTGCAACCGACCGGCTCCTGAGCACGTAGATTGGCTGTGTATGGGACATCCTATTGGTCGTGTGGATTATTTATCTACTAATAAAAACAGTTTGACACATACTGGTTAATGTAATACTTATTTCCAAGGATCAACAGGTGTTTGTCTCAGTGAGCACAGATAACGCAAAGAGACTGAGTTTAGGACTAAACAGTGGAACAACTTAAACACAATAGAAATAAAGTGAAAGTGAAATAATAAGCATTGTGGATGTTTTTTTTCTTTTTTCCAGCTGGTCCTTTTGATGCTCCTGTCAGCTTGTACAGGTGTTTAATGCAGGTATACCTACAGTGCAGGTCTAATGAGTATGTGTGCAGCGGTTCAGAATTGAGCAGAAGCACCTGCAGTGTGACCACAGCCTGTCCCCGTCTCCTCTGGATCGTCTCGGCTGCGCCCACAGCGTGTGACCTCAGCCGTCCTGAGCGCTGTTTCGTCATCAGTCCTCTCTGTTCCTCCGTGACGCCGCGTTGCACACACTTTCCTCCACACACACAAACACACACACACACACACACACACTCTGTTACGTGTAGACGCAGGAGGTCATGCAGTCGGCCTCGGACTCAAAGTTGTTTCTGTTTCCCTCGCAGCCTCCGAACCAGAACTGAGCGCAGGCGTTGGCCACGGGGTCGTAGTACCACCTCATCACGTACTGACGACAGGGACCGGGGTCCAGAGGCTGACTGCACCCCTCATCTAAAGGACAAGAAGGATGTCTTGAAATGTTTGGCCTCAGTGGTTAGCAGTGTTGTTATTTCATCTACATTTCACTGTTTGAACAAGTAGATAGTTGTTTTACCTGCATAGGACCAAAAAAAGGCCCCTGAGATATCATAGGACAAACTGGGCCAAATATGATCCCGGTGGTTCAAAAGTAAAACAACAGAATTCAAGCTTTCTGATTGGATAAGCTCAATGGTGCTTCGGCAGTGCTCAGAGGGGGGGGGGCCCTGGCACCTCTCCAGCCACCAGACCATCTATATTATGGTCCACATCGGGACTTGAGCCGGCGACCCTCCGATTCCCAACCCAAGTACCTACAGACTGAGATACTGCCGCCTCCAAAACCCTCAAAACGTTCAAGTAGGATCGATAAAATCTGAATCATTCTGATCCCAGCAGAGGTCTGGATTCAGACTGGATTACAGGGACAAATTGGTAAAACAATTCACTTTTACATAATAGTGTGTGAATGAAGAATCACTCGCTAAGTATTGATAGAAGTGGCATATAATTGTTTTGAGAATTTTTAATTGACAACTAGAAACTTCAGTCATCGGGCCGTAAGAATTGGCCGTTAGAACAGTAACAGACTCCTCCTTTCAAATCAAGCTCTCATTGGCTGTTCAAGGGTGTAAAAAGTGCATATTAGGCAGTAATTAGCTGAATGAGGTGTCAGCGAAACAGCAGAGGCCAATCTGAAGCCATCTGTGGATCTTCATGGATGTAATGTGATTCAATCTTTCTCTGGATTTGGACTGTGAGGACTAGTTTTTGGTGGAGTATTATGACGGGGCGTTAAGTCAAGAGACTGTAAAAAATGGTAGTTTGTTTGTCGGTGGTCTGACACACTTTATTGCAGTTACTGGAAGTAGATTGACCTATCAGTGGAAATGATCAAATGTATTCTGAAGTAAAGTGACATGAATGAGAGTTGGACTTCTGAGACTCTAATCTCTGCGTGTTTACCTGGCCTGGCTGAGTCCGTCAGAGTGGGAGCAGCAGGAGGAGGGCTGACTGGAGCCTGCGTGCTCTCTGCCTCGTACAGTCTGTCGCTCGGAGTCTGAGGACCCAACACCGAGCTCACCCCTGGGCTCTGCTGCCCCAAGCCACCAGAAGAGACAAACTTCCTGTCTGGCGGCTGGATCCAGGGATCCACCAACACATCCGAGTCAATCAGGTTCTCGTCGACCCGCCCGGACTCGTGAGACTGTGGGGTCACTTCATCCTGGAAAAGGAGCCGACAAAGCAAATGCTTAAGTTAGTTTTCATTGTAATATTTCCAAACAGCTGAACCCCAAAGGCCGATGAATACTTGTGCAGTGAGTCTGAGCTGATGATAAAGCCTTTGTAAGTGGCTTAAACTGTTGATGTATACTGTGTCTGGGTTGCATTGCATTTTGTGTGTGAATGGGTGAATGACAGCCAGGTGTAAAGCACTACATAGGTACCAACCTAAATACTGTTTTTAAAAAATCAAACTCGTTACAAGTGACGGAAGCCCATAAGTTATTATTTATCCTGAGTGGCATCCCATGTTTCCACGAAGGAGTTGCTGAGTAATGTCATCACTTTAGGAGTAAGCATATCACATTTACAGTTGAGATGAAAGGCAGAGCTTGTTCGATTTCCTCGCCCAGGATCGATATCGAGACGCCGCCTTGTGTAGAATCTGGTCGCTTCTTCACAGGTATTAAGACAGTGTTGGGAAGACGTGACATTGTGTCTTCCTGCTCACAGATCTGACTCAGTATTTGGATTTCTACAGCTGCAAAACAAAAAGGAAACAGAATTGGAGAAAATGTTATCGGTTGTCTACATCACATGAAACAAAAGGCAAAGAAGTATAACAGATGACAAGATGACTCCAAATCTAAATTGATGTTCACATTTTTATGTTAGTGTTTGGATTGGCTTTGATAAATTCTCACTAACTCAAAGGTTGCAGGGGGTGGAGATGACATGTGAGGAGCTGCGACAGCCGCAGCATTGGACAGCATTGTTTTCAGGCCTGCAGCACGAGTCAGAAAAGCACTGATGGCTTAAGTATAAAGTCAAGATTAAAACTGAGCTTTGGAACAGAAATCATAACATCAGTGCAGGTCAAATGGGCTTGTTTGGTTTATTACTGGATGTAAACTGTTTGATTAAGGGCAAGGTTTGAAGGAATGACTTTGGGAAACATTTATTTTGTGTCTAAGCAGGTTCTAATCAGACAAACTGAAAGCATTAGTAAAGCCAATAAAAACATTCCCTGCTTTGCTGGAAATGGTGAACAAGCCACCTCCATTACACTTAAAAGGGGAGTAACACATGCCTACACTTTTACCTTATTACTAAGTAAGGATGTAACAATTCACTCAAGATTTATTTTACTAAATGAGACTAGACAAATGAGTGAAAAAGATTCCTTTAGGGGCTCTTTAAACAATAGCTGCAAAGGGTTCACTGCTCTACAAAGCCGCCAGACTTCATTGACAAAAACAACAATTTTGACTTTTTAGAAAGCTGTAGTCCCTTTTTTTGCCATCTTGCCGTTAATATACAACATCGCTTCTTACTCTCCATCCATTGTCCAAAAGTGAAGCCAAAGTAGCCCTGTGATGAGCGCTAACACATCGAGCTGGTGATGTCATTCGGATCAAAGACATGCAACAGAACAGAGCTGTGTGGTTGAACCACAGAATTGACAACATGCCGCGACCAACTTCATAAATCATGTCACCATAAAGCTAGTTGGTTCTTTGCAGTGTGACGGTGTTTTCTTACTGGGAAGTGACCTGAAGTCATCGATGAGGTAGACGTGCTCTTCATCAGGATCCGAGGCGATAGCATTCATCTCAGCTTTGAACTCTTCATAGAAATGGGCGGTGCTGCTCATCACACCGATGACAAACATCTTGATCCCCTCCGCGTGGGCCTCTGTCGCCGCTTCCTCAAACTGCATTTGGTCACTGGGGTCCGTTTGCCCGTCTGTCAGAACCACAGCCACTTTCCTCACACCAGGCCGCGAGTGCTGGAACAGCTGGTGGGCCCGATGGATGGCCCTGCCCGTGAAGGTGCCCTCGCCCAGGTAGGGCATCATCCTCACCGCAGCCTTCACCTCCTCTTGGCTTAACTGCTGCTGCAGACTCACCACCACGCTCTCCACGTAGCTGTAGAGAACCACACCGATTCGAGTGGCCTCTTTGCTCACCGACATCCGGTCGATGACAGCATTCACAAAGTCCTTCGCCAACTCCAAGTTTTCTGGTCCCACGCTCTCAGAGCTGTCGATCACAAACACCAGCTCCAGAGGACTCTCTCTGCACCTCATCCCACAGCCTGGATGTGAAACAGAAGAGATCGAGTATAATGCTTCAAAAGCAAAATATGAAAAGTTACAAAGCAAACTTCTATTCAAAAAACACAGAAGCACAAGGCCAGCACATGCTTCTTCGTCCCTTCAAAAACTCAGCTCAGACTCTTCCTTTAGTTTATTTGATGCATACATTTTAATGCTTCTTATAAATACTGGATGGAAACATAATTTCCAATACAAGCAACACAAACCACATCACCCATTATCACAGCTTAAACTATCACAGAAGAAGATTAAATGTGTCATTTACCACAAATCTCTTTTATAATCTGGATGACTTCATCTCTCTGTGTAAAGAAAATGGGTTTTAGGTTAGGAAATAATGTATTTTATTGTGAGATAAATGGATAAAGCTCGCTGTTATTTGTTCAGTCAGTGTACTCACCGTTAGGCCAGGCTCCCCTTTTTCTCCAGGATTCCCCTGTAAAGTTCAACTCAGATTATAAAGTAGAATCCTACCAACTGGATGTGACCAGCAGGAATCACCAAACAGAGGTGTGTGTGTTTGATATGTTTAAAGGCAGAATATGCGACATTTTAAACATATATATAGCAAAAAAATCAAGTATATCCTCTATAAATCTCTCTGAGCCGTGACTGTCTACAATGACGCGCGAGTCCCGCTGTCTGCGATGTTGTCAGAGCCGTGTTTACATCATGTTTTGACCGGCTCCTCCCCTTCTGTATAAAAGCTGTTTAACTGCTACAAGAGAAAACGAAGAAGAACATACTCACTGCTTATTTGAATGACACGTAAGTGTTTTTAGATCACGGTCATTTTGTGCAAATTTACATGCAATGTGTAGCTGCCAGCTAACTAAAGAGTGCTAACATTAGCATTAACACAACAATGCAGCTCAAGACCATGCTCGAGACGAGGACAATTTTGTCCGACGCTCGTGCACAGTGCTAAGCGCTTAATTAATGTGCGTTCCAATTTGTGCAAACGTGAGGGGAGAGGGGTTGGAGGTGTCCCGCTGTAGGAGAGCGGAGGATTCAGTGTGGACGCAGAGGTGTCACGAAACAGCAGTTTGTTTTGGTTTGGGCTATCGATGATAACCAGCATCATGCTGGTGCTCAAGGGCGACATCTACTGGATGAAAAGTCAAACAGTCTTCCTTTAAACTATATCATGATAACTTTGCTGCCTAAAAGACCTTTTTGTGATTGTTGTGAGAACATTGTGAAATCCCAAGATATTATGGAATGAAAATAACGCCTAACCAAGATTAAAAAAAAAGTATTCGGGATAGTTCTGGCGGTACAAAGGCAGAATCTTTCCCATCTGCATCTACTGTAAAGCACTATGAGTCAACTCCTTTTCTTCGCATATGTGCATTATATTACATGTATGACCTTGTCTAACTGTTCATCAGAAATAAACGAGTGCATCCTAATGACTTTAAACTGACGAATCCATCAGCATCAACATGGCTGATCGAGTCATTTCATAAATTGTATCTACTGTAATGCGAACCCAACTCCAACCTGCCGTCTGTATCATCCTGTGTAGGTCTCACTTGACATGCAATGAGGAAGCTGTGTCCCAGTTGAAACAATAACCAGAGAAAAATACAGCAATGTTACCATCTGTCCTGTAGATCCAGGTTCTCCATGGTCCCCCTTCTCTCCTTTCTTCCCTCGGTCTCCAGGAATGCCTCTATCACCCTGAATATGAAAGTGGTCTTATTTCAGCTAATTTGGAGCACAGATATTTCGACTGAATTATGCAACAGCTGATGTAACAAATGACACAGTATCTGTTTGTACCTTCTCCCCTGGATGGCCATCCCCTGGTGCCCCTCTAGGGCCCACTATTCCATGATATCCAGGCTCTCCCTGAGAACAAAGATGGATGAATTGGTAACTTAGACGAGGGTGTCGTCGGCATATAGACGTATATTAAAACTGTCCAATCGATGGATTGAAAGTCTCCAGATCGTTTCATTAAGTGTAACAGGATAACATCTAACGAGGAGACAGTGGCCATCCCTGCGGGACAAGATAATCAGTCTATAAAGCCGCCAAAGCAAGCGCTTGGCAAGAGTCGCAAGAAAGACTTCATTTTAACAGGCAGAGACCCCAGAGCCTGATCACTTAGAATGGTTAGCGGCTGAAAGCGACTCCAAAAGTTGCACATCGTCCTTCTACCTGCCCTGTCTCAGGATCGTAAGCGTAGAGTACATTGAGGTCAGGATCATCAGGAGTTGCCAAGCCCTGTGCAGTTTGCTCTTCCATTGCAGCTGAATTTGGAGAAAAGCTATCTGCACTGTAACTCTGCGCAGAGCTGTTCTCTAATGCTGACAGATCACAGTTTTGTCCATGAAGATGTATCACTTGCATCCTTGAAGTGAGTCACAGATCCAGACCATCTCTATACATGCGGATGAAGAGTCAAGCTGCCGACAGTGCAGGATGTATTATAATACTGTAACAGTAATATTACAGTAATATTAAGACTTTCATTGCAGTTAACACCTACTCTGAGCACACAATTATTTTTCTACTATGTGTGTTGCTGTCATCGTAGGTCTTTGTGAAATTGATGCTTTTTGCAATGAGGCTGATTTGCATAGAAAGGGGGCCCATTCCCAAAACGACTGCAGAATACTCACAAACAGTAAATGCACACGCCTTGTTTAGTGTTTTCATGTCTACCTTTGGTCCTTGGATGCCCTCTCCTGGTTGTCCTGGAAGGCCTGGAGATCCAGGCTGCCCCATAGAGCCCTGGAAATACAACACATGCAGACACATTTTAAGACTTATTTCAGTATGATCAATGGAGAAGATGGTTTTAAATCATCAATTATTTAACTACCATTCGTCGTATACATAAGCACTGACCTTAGGTCCATAAAGTCCAACTCCAGGAGGACCTGATGGACCTGGTACCCCAGGTAAGCCTCTGTCACCCTGAAAAACAACACAGACAAAACAACTCTTACTAAAAAGAGTTTCAACTGACTTTCCATCTTATGCTACCCACTCTCTGTCTCTTAACATCTTATCCAGATCACAAACACATGTCATCAGGTTCCCCTCCAGTCAGTCCACATGGCCTCTTTTAAACTACACATCCATATCCCACATCAGGAGGTCATACTGTCAGTGTGGCTACTGATGTTGTACTTTTTCTCTTTTTCTCACTCTGTTCAGTTGAATGACCTTTAGTCCTCATGAGCATCATGAAATGCCCGTCATGTTCGCTTTTCCTCACCTTGAAAACCCCACGAAGCTACACTCATAACTCACCTTATGTCCAGGTAATCCTTTCCCTTCAGGTCCCATCTCTCCTTGCACTCCTGGTAAGCCAGGCAGACCCTAACGTAAAAGAAAGACAACATATATATTCATTCTTATGCAGTATTTCTGAGGATGATATATTTGATACACTGAAATACATTTCCTCTCACCTGTGGCCCTGGCAAGTTATCACCCTTTATTCCTGGTGGCCCGACAGGTCCAAGATTTCCCTTATTACCCTGAAGAGGAACAGTCAAAATACTGAGAGGAAATATTTCAAGAAAATACAGATTTGCTCAAATATATTAGTACAAAAAGATAAATTGACCTGCAGGTGAGTATACTGCAAATGTGATTTAAGTGTGATCTCAAGATGTAGAAATCTTCAAGCAAACATTTTCAGGTGCAAAGTCCTGCACTATGCATCAGTATACTGTGTGTTAAATGTACTTCATACTTAGTATCTTAGGAGGTGACCATTGAGAAAATATGTGAAATGAACTTGTATGACACTGATGCAAAACGCTCCTCAGCCTTGCAACATGTTCACTGATCTAAGTTGTTTTATGTGGGTTCTACTCCTTGGTGGATTTACCTTTGGCCCCATTATTCCAAGTCCAGGTTCTCCTACAGGTCCAGCGAGTCCAACAGGCCCAAGATCTCCCTGTGAAGTGAAGAACGAATGAAACCTTTGTTTTAACAGACTCTGACCATTGACAGCACTTCTTGGTTTTTAAACTGAATCAGAATCGGCTTCATTCGTCAAGTATCGTGTTCACATACAAATAATTGTTGTAAAAACGTTGTATTCTGGTGTACAGCTTGTTTAGGTGCATAGCTTTGTGTTGATAGAGTTGTCAGCTGAATTATGTGTGTGTGTGCGTGTGTGAGTGTGTGCATGAAAGATTTCTTGGGAGTCATCACCTTTGATCCTGGTAAGCCACGCCCAGCAGGTCCAGGTAGGCCCATCATTCCCATGCTGCCGGGTTCCCCCTGAACAAAAGAATCAGCATCGTGATCACTGAGCCGTCAGCTCAAGTTAATAAAATTGGCATATTTTGCCTGAAACATCACGCTGCAGTTTGAAATTTGAAAAGTATTTGAGATGCTTTCAATTACTCTTCAGAGCCATCCGAGCCAAAAACCTCTTGAATCCTCCAAATAGTAAAAACCTGACCCGATCTTTAACATTGTGTTGGACTCTGTCAGCCATTCAAACATGACCTTAGCTAAACGCCTCCAGTTCAAACCTGTATTTAACATACCTTAGCTCCAGCAGGTCCAACTGGGCCAGGCAACCCTGACAGCCCCCTCGTCCCACGATCACCTCTGTCGCCCTGCGGAAAAAAGAAAAGAAAAAGATGACGTCACACAGCTCAGCACCTCTGATACAGTATGTTTGATTGAGAAAGCTCATCGATGTATGTGCCTTATAAGGCCTTATTTAAGACTTCATACGGCAGTTCAGTTAGTGTGTACAGGTATGAAAAGTCAGTACAGGTATGAAAATATCTAATCTGAGTGAGTTCAGCCAAACCAAATGTTAGGGCAGCGTAAACAAAGCCTATTTATTATCAAACAGTAAGGATGTCGTCTGAAGACACGCAGCAGCTGTAGCACATCTGATTACCTTTTCTCCAGGGATACCTTTCCCAGGCGCTCCCTCGAGGCCTCGCAGTCCTGGCAACCCCATCTCCCCCTGCAAACAGAAACAGTTTCCAGTGAGATACCGGTTCAGGTGACATGACCTCACAACCTTTTTTAACGTCTTATATTTTCTGTTTTTTTTTTTTAAGTGATGTGCGTTTGTAGATGTTCCTGCCCAGACACCACAGATGTTAATTAGCTTTAGCTCTCATGTCTTGTAGGTTCCTCGGGATTGTTGGTGGGGACGACCTGTTGCTATGGACCGCCGACCCCCCTCCCCTCTGTTTGTCCCTATCCTTCTTCCTGCATCCTATCCCATCTCCTCCCATCCTATTTTTATTCTCTTTTGTAAAGTGTCTCGAGATAACATTTGTCATGAATTGGCGCTATGCAAATAGGGATTGATTGATTTAGTGCTAACTGGTCCAACATGGCCCCAACAAATAAGCTAAACAAACAGAAAAGGGAGTTAGGGATCGTCATAGTTTCTGAATCGCATGAGGCCTCTTCATATTCAATGTCTTTTCTTATCAACGTATAGAAAGTACTTAATTGTTCTGTAATTGTGAAAATACCTCAATTCATTAATTCCTCATTGGATCTTCTGAATAATAAATAAATAAATAAACCGTCCTCAGGTGACTCACCTTTGGCCCCACAGCTCCGTCCTCACCAGGAATGCCCGGTATCCCAGAAGTCCCGTCAGGCCCCGGCTCCCCCTGGAAAATAAACATCCCATGAAGTCTAAACTTTCTCTCTCACTGTACTTATTTTTTAAAAGTTTCATTTAAAGGGATTCGGGTGGTTTTACCTTTGGTCCTGGCTCACCAACCCCCCTGTGTCCCTGAGGTCCAGACTCTCCGGGGAAGCCTTGGTCCCCCTGAGAAACGAGACGGATAACCTCAGATTCAAGAATTCAGGAATAAAACTCAAAAAGAATCTCTGTTTCTGAAACTCTGCTACTTACCTTTGGTCCAACTATACCCAGTCCAGGAGGTCCTCTGGGACCAGAAGGCCCAGCTGGTCCTTGATCCCCCTAAAAGCAAAACAATCATAGCTCTTTAATTGAATTTATTAGAGTCCGACCGATTAATCGGCTAGCCATGAATATCGGCCGATATTAGAATATCATGTGACTGTCAGTTTGGCTAAATTTATCTCCAATATGCGTCGATATTCCTCAATTTATTCATCAGTCAAAAAACATTTGATTTGAGTTTCATTGTATTACACTAGCAGTTCTCTTTCACCAGCAGAGGGCGCTATATGGATTACAACAAGCATGATCACTCTCCAGTCCAGAGTGTCAAGCGGTGATGCACGTACTTTACAGTTAAGCAACCATCATGTCGTCATTATAAATCTTCTCCACAAGTGTTTGAAAACTGTATTTGAGGGATCAACTCAATAAATGTATATATCTATCTATCTCTAAATATCAAAGACAGATCTAAGAAAGATATCGGCCGATATATCAGTATCAGATTTTTATTTCTCCCTTATATCGGTATCGGCCCCCGAAAATCCCACATCCCAAAATCCACTAGAAGTTACAGAACTAAATGGATAAAGAGGTTAATATTGTTATAGCAGCAGACAATAAGGAAGTGAGGCATTAGCAACAATTTCCACTTTCATTTGAGGTATTTAAGCTAGGAGTATTTGGCTTTGTAAGGGTTTTAGAGCACATCTATTGCAAGTAGACAAAAAAGGCATAACAAGAAAATTGCTTATGACAGAGATACCTTTGGTTGACTGTCGGGTTGATGTAGTTTAAAATATGAACACAATGGAAAGTAAAATTTCCCTACCAGATCTGATTTGGTGAAAATTAAAGAGTATGCGAGAAATGTATTGAACCTACATCGCCAATGAGACCACAATAAATTAAAAAAACCAGATCCCCTTTATTCACCGCTACAGATTAATGATATGTACTATTTCTTCGATCTTTAAATAATTTATTAGAGCTTGTTTTTCCCCTTCATAAGACTACTTGAAAGACTGATTCAGAGTGTAAGGACTGATTCCTACATGTACAGGACACAGATACATAAGGCTACACAAACAGGGTTAAGTGAACTGTGCATTGAGGTTTATACAGAATCCAGAATCTGGAAAACAAAGTGAAACAAGTTCCTAATGGTCTTACCTTTTCTCCTTGGATTCCTGCTCCTGGAAACCCAACCAGACCCGGCAGCCCCTGGGCTCCGGTGTTTCCCTTTAGAGTCAGACAGGTGAGAGGTCAGACAGGTCATCCTTTATAGCTTCACATATTCTCAATGAAATCCAAAGTATGTTTTAATAGTCAAACGTACCTTTTCACCTTTGTACCCGAGTCCTGGAGGTCCACGGCTTCCTTTAGGACCCTCATAACCCCGGTCACCCTGCAAGAAGCACACGAGGAGTTAAAGAACAGGACGATGTAGACAGATTGTGACTCATATTCTTTACTATTCTTTGAGTGAGTGTGTGAAAAGGTCTAAACATTTGTTTCTCCTAACCCTTTTTTTTTGGTCTGAACTGGGTGATTGGTGTTTCAAATGTTTCCCCTGTGCAATGAAGACCATCTTAAATGAAGAATCAATCATGACTCAACCGAGGTGTGAACCAAGCTCGTCCTTGAGCTCACCTTGTGTCCTGGAAGACCTTCTCCGGAAAAACCTGGAGATCCTTGCATCCCCTGTGGCCCTGCTGGACCCTTGAAATACCAACACAAGAACAGAAAAAATATGTGTCATTGATGACTTATATTTGTCTTTTCTGTTCTCTAGATTTCTCTTTTTCAAGACACAAAATTAAGAATCAGACCAGTTTTAAACTTTTGCTCCTCCATTTTTGACCACCTACAAGAAAAACAGCTCATATTTCATTTTTGTATTTCAAAACAAAAATCAAAGATCCACTCATTTTTCACTTTATTTTATCCATTTCTGAACTGAAAAACCAATGCCATTGAAAATGTTGTCATTAGCCCAAAGCAGACTGCTGTTTCAAGCAGCGATATTTACTCCCCTTTGATGTTTAGCCTTCAATCTGAAAGTTGTGGAGTAGTAATGGGAGGATGAAGTGAACCCCCCCCCACCCCCGTGTACCGAGGTGTAACAGAGGCGAGACAGTTTAGCAGAGCCAGTAGAGAAGTGCAGCGCTGTGTGTGTGCGTGCATGTCTGACTGTGTGCGTGTATGTGGAGCTCCTGCTGTGCCGTGCTTCAGAAACGCAATGTGAATTCACAGAACAGGACAAGAATATTTCACCGCCGCAGAATCGATATGAATGTACAGAGACGTGATGACAGCTCAGCATTGTCAGGGAAAAGGGAGATTGTCTGTGTTGTCATTGTGTTGTCATTGTCTGCACTCCAGGACACAGGATTGAAAGCTAGCTTTAGTGTAAAGGGTTAATCTGTGTTTTCTTGAAGGTGACCCTACATTGTGGATTTTTTGAACACCTATACACATTTGAAGACACTTTTTTGTGATTAAGTTAGAGTTAGTTACATTGATATTTCATCATAATGTCTTTAATATGTCCCTCGTTTGCACTGCTGTAGTAAGGAGCGAGTAAAAGATCAGCCATGTGTACTGGAAATCAAAACAATTCAGTGTCAATCCTCTATAAATCTTAAAGAGCATCTCTTATCAGAGCAGTTACTGTACTTTCACCCAGTTTTGTTACTCACCGGGGCGCCTGGCTCACCCCTGCCCATCGGTCCAGGAGGCCCGGGTCTTCCTTGGTTCCCTTTGTCACCCTGGAAAATAAGATTTTAAAGATTAAAGATGAATCTCAAAGACCACAGGACACACAAGTTCCTTCAGCAGATTAATCCAACTTAAGTTTACCTTGGGACCAGGGAAGCCAACTCCATTATCTCCTGCAGGTCCAGGTGCCCCCCTTGGTCCTCGGTCACCCTTTCAGAGGAGAAATAAAAAAAAAGAAACTTACAGACGTTGATAAAGCTGTCACTGTGTGTACAAACTGATTTAAAGCACGTGTTTGGATCTGGTCTGACAGTGTGCTCACTTTAGGTCCTGACGGCCCTTCTGGACCCTGGTCTCCGGTTCCTCCGTTGACTCCCTAAAACAGACGCAAAAACAATACGGGAAAGTGAATAAAGGTGCTTGCGCGAATAATAAACGTGCTGGGTTTTTTTTAAACAAAAACGTGGAGTAATCACGACTTTTTGTGTCATATGGCTGAAAGATGTGTTCTTGCCCCTTTGGCAGATTATTTTTCTTTAAATATTTTTAGCACTGCAGGTCTTATTTTATGGGTTAGCTTTGAGTTGTTTTGGTTTGGTGGTTTAATGGAGTCTTGAAACTGCACATGTCATGTCTGTGTGTAACAACAGCAGTGACACCTGTTGGACGCTGAAGAGTCATGGTGGGAATCTCGAAACAGTGAAAGAGTTAAAACTGGAGAAGTGATGCAGCAGAACCAGAGATTGCTTCTTTTATTATTTAACACATTTTCCCTCCTAGTCAAAATCTTGCACCGACGTTACCCATAATGCACCACAAGCTCCCTTGGAGCCACAAAAGGATGCTGCAACATGTATCAGTAGAACAATCCCACACCAGGAAACACACTTTGATGAATTAAATAATTGGAGTTTCCCTATAATCATATTCAGTTATTGAATCTGACTTCACTTTTAATTCATTTCTAACCAGCTAAGTTGAGACCTGAGCATTTTCCTACTTAACTGTCAATCATACATGATAGAAATAGAATATTAAACCTCTGGTTGCTGAGCTGTGACTGCCCTCTGCTGGACAGGAAAGTAGTCATCCTTTATTTACCCCACAAGGGGAAATTACTTTTGCATGCTTCACTCACATAGGCTGAGGAAACGCATGCACAAACAGGATCCTTTGAACATGCACTCTCGAGAAATGCCAGAGGGAGGTGCTGCACATGAGAGAGTGCCTGAGCAGTTTGGGGTTCAGTGCCTCGCTCAAGGGCACATAAACAATGGCCAGGAAGAGAACTGACCCCTCTCCAGTGACCACACTTGAACCACCATCCCCAAGTCCCTTCAGACTGAGCTCATTGCCGCCCCCTAAAACGTGTGACTCAAGGATGTGAACATCTTCTGCATCATCCTACAAAAATATGCATTCTACTTCTTGAATCATTGTGTCTAAATATCCCAAAGGCTGTGTGGACTGTGCAAAAGCGTCATAGTGTTCCTATATCTTTATATCCTCTTACCTTTGTTATCTCATCTCTCATGCTTTGTTTTTGCAGGTCTTGTGCGATCAGGCAAATGTGCAATATATGTTGTGTTGTCTTGCATTGGTGTGTGCCTTTCTGTTTATGTGTGGATGTGTTTTTCTATTGATTTTATTGATCGATTGGAAGCGTAAGCAGCACTTTGAGTCTGAGAGAAATTTCCCCGAGCGGACAATAAAGTGTGTCAATGAAACTTGTGAGAGAGAGACTTTTAATGTAATATGTTAATCATGTTTAGAAGTGGTGTGTCGCACATACTGTAAAAATGTAAAAATTGAGATTATGATCACTTCTGACTCGTGTGTGTCTAGTTTCATGGGAACTGGCGAGGAATCAGACGGACGTTTCTGTTGATCGGCAGCGCTGGAGGGGGCAACAAGCGTTTAAGAAGAGAGGGAATGTATAACATGTGCCCAAATCCTAATCCTCTGGGACAACGTCTGCTCTAAAACTACAACCAAACATTACAGGCTTGGATTCCCCCGCTTTAGAAAGGCTACATTGGGAGGGGGATAAGACCTAATCCACAGCTCACATTCCTCGAGTGCAGAGCGGGAGACGGACCCCGAGTGTGTGGCTCTCACTGCAGCCACGATCGTTTGACCACACACCCATTCAGATATGAAGACACATTAAATACACATCTCTAATAAACTAATACACGATTATTTCTATAATGCTGGATAAATCTACAACTATAAGGGCCACGTTGATGACAAGAAAAAAGTCACAATATTATGTGTATATAGCGATTCAAGTCATAATATAAGAAGATTAAAGGCATAGAAGTATGAGAAAAAGTCGTAATAACGCCAACAAATTTGTAATCCTTTAAAAAAAAGTTGCAATATTTGAAGAGAAAGAAGTTGTAGTGTAAGGCTATGGTTAGCTTGTATGTTTGTTTTATTCAGGCTAATATTAAAAGATACCTAAGGAATAATTTCTAAAATTATTATGACGTTATCCTCGCTCTACTTTATCCTGTTAATATTTCCACTTTATTCTGAAAATCTCAGATTTGTTTTGTCTTTACGGCCCTAATATGCCAGAGAGATAAACCGACCGAAGTCCTACGCTTAACGTTTTTGTTTTGTCTCAGACAGATTTTTTATTCCATGTTTCTGACCTTTTTGTTAAACAAGAAGATGCTCTCTTCAAGGCAACGAGACAAAAAACTGGCAACTGACAAAAACTGGCATTTTTTAACCTCAGAAAAACAGCTTTGAGGCGTCGTATAGCGATTATGTCACGCGTCCAATGTGCAGAGGCCACAGTCCTCCTCGCAGCATCCATAGGTACAAATCTGACCTCAGCCCTTTGCAGCATGTCATCCCCCCACTCCCTCCTCCCAAAACGTCCTGTCTCTCTCTCTCTCTCAGCTGTCCTCTCTAATAAATGCAAAAAGGCCTAAATAAATAAATATAACACTTTTAGAAAACAGGTGTTGTAAGTTTGTTGGAATTGTGCAATTCTGCTGTTCCAGTGGTTTTGAGTCAATGCAAAATCATTTTTTTAAACCTCTCAAGTTAGTTATTTTTTTTCTTATTACAAGGCATTATGTTGCAGCCATCACAGTCTTTTTATTTGCAGCACAGTTATGGAGCAATTCAAGTCCTTCAGACTTAAAAATTGAGCAAATTTTGCACTGGTAAAAAAAAGAAGACAGATTAATAACCCTTCAAAGGTAAAAAGTTTAAAATGTTACCTGCTCTCCTCTTTGGCCTTTAGAACCAGGAGGTCCAAGTGCACCCTGAGGATAAATAGCGATATATTAAGGCTTTATTTGCATACTTAGCAGAAACATAAAGCAAAATAAACAAATGAACCCGTTTGTGACACCTACTTGTTCTCCCATTTTACCCGGGGCACCGCATTCCCCCTGTTCCCCCTGAAAAGTAAAAGCAGTGAGGACACGGTATGAAGCAAACGTCTCATCTGAGCACCGAGCGAAGTCAAAGTGGAGGCGTTTTTAATCGGAATCTTTTAAGAACTAAATTCACGCAGATCTTTTAAACCGCAAACATACCAGAACTGGAGGCTTTTTCTTTACAGTATCATACCGTATTTTCAGACCTGAACTTTTCTGCAGCACCCGTTCATCATAATAACGTAATCATAAAATGTCACGTACCTTTTCCCCTCTGTTGCCTTGTCGACCCTATAGAACAGGAAATGCATTTTAGTTAAATTGGCCTACACTGGATATCAAACAGTTAATCATCATGCTACTCCGTCTTTCAGACCACAGACTGTAAATATGAATGGATGAAGTCTGAGTGACGTCAGCCATCTGTTGTCTGTATCTTACATTCAATATATGTTTCAGAGCATTAATATTTAGCAGTAGCTGCTTTTTTTTTGCTCCTGAGCTATGCTAAGCTAAGCTAATTAGCCCTTGACTTGTGACCTTATTGCAAAGATAATGGTTTTATTTTAAACTTCCTTTTCCATTCTTGGAGAGAAAGTGACTTCAATGCTTTTCCAAAAATGTTAGTTTGTTTTCTTTATGTTAGAAATAAGTATGACCAGTTAGAATAATTAGAGACGGCCATGAAGGTGATTGGGGAGGACTGAAAACCTCTCCCTCTAGTCACTGTATGAGCAGGCTGATCTCAGACAGGCACAGAGAGTATCAGGTAACTTTCACATCCTCCACTCTGAGTGTGAGCTTCAACCATCTGCCAGACGATACAGAGCCCCTCAATTCAAACTTTTTTCTTCTGACTCACGTTTGATCACGTATTTTCTGTGAGATCTCGTGTCTGTGGAATCGCCACTGTGTACGTTTCCATAAACGGCAGGTGTGTGGTCTCGCCTCCTGGCTGAATCTGCCAAGTGTGCTTTGGGAGGATGGTAATGTTGAAAAGTGTGCTCACTGTGTGTTTGTGTTCTCACACGTTCTTAAAATTGGTTAAGATTTGAAAATCATCTAGTATGTAGCTAAGTGTTTAAATTGTTAAGCACTGTAATTAAAATGTTCAATATAATCTATTTGGAGCTCCTTTGCTGCGTAACACAACACAAAACAATATAACAGTAAACTCAGAGTAAAATGGCGCCATGAGAACCTGTTAGCCATGAGAAAAGGATGAGAAAAAATATTTGATGATTACCGCGAGGCCCTCCATTCCTGGTCGTCCATTAATGCCAGCCTCCCCCTGCAGTGACCGAGCGCAGACAAAACATCACATCAAACGACACTTCGTGGATTCTTTCTTTTACCTGGATTACTGACACAATGGAGACTTACGCGGGATCCCTTTGGACCTGGAGCTCCGTCGGACCCCGGCTCGCCTGGTTTCCCCTACATGAAAGTAAAAGGGAGATTGTGTGAGCAGAATGAGAATATTTGGGCCCCTTTTCAGCTTTGATTCAGTGTGTGTATAGTGATAGGTGAGGTAGGTCATCCTCAGTGTGCCCTGTCTGTGACCCTCTCCAACATAAACCTCGTCCTCGGTGCAACAGGTTCTCAGATCACCGCAGCCTCTCTGTTTGTTCACGATTAATCTTCCGTCCTTGACCTTTGCTTCTGTCCGCGGGCCTCTCGTCAGCAGCACCAGCAGAGAAAACAGCACTTTCAGCTGCCCATCTCGCCACCTGCTACACTTGCATTGTGGGAAACATTTCCTGCTCTTTCACATCTTTTCCCTGTAGTTGTCTTGGATGCAATCCAGTCGCACCTGCTGAGGGAGGCCACCAGCCCGGCTGCTGAGGCTCCCTCAGCTGTGCAGGGATAACAGGCCGCTGTGTGAGGCTTACAGGGCTCTGTGAGGCTGAGACAGCGGTAAGCTGGTACACAAATAATGTCACTATACAAAAAAGGTCTGCAGGGCATTGGGCCAGGAGCTCCTTCAATACTTTAATGGAATATGGAGCGAGATTTTAGACGACATTTGGTGCCAACGTTTTTTGTAGTTTACCTTAATTTTACCAGGAAAATGTTTTTGTTGAGACTAAAGAGTCCCGGGCCAAGACAGCAGCTTAAAAGTTTCATACAAAGAACAAAACCATAAACTAAAATCACATCAATCAACAAATCAGTAGTGTTAAGCCGAGAAACACATTTAGTGTTCATTAAGAATAAAAGCAGTGCAATGAAATATAGCCTCCATATCAGCAAACAGAGATGTATCAAAACATGCTCCAAACTCAGAGTCCACTTGGTTATTTTTCAGCCATTCAAAATAATACAGTTCATTTGTGACATAGCCATAAAAACTTTCATTCAACTTAATTCCCCCATACTGCTCATTTAGTCGTTGCCCTAAGCAGACGTGATGGTCGAAAAAACACGCTCAACTCTCTTTTAACTTAAAACAACTTGGTGCTGAACCCCGAAAAATGTTCAAACAAGAAAACCAAAAAGGACAGCTCTCCAAAGTTGTATTTTAAATGCCACTCGGATGTTTTGAGCAGACGCTCTTCTCCGACGTGTAACAGCCTCTGAAGAAGAGCGTCTGCTTGAAACGCCCGCGTCACATTTAAAATACAACTTTGGAGAGCTGTCCTTATTGTCTTTCTTGTCGGAGCAGACGTGAAGGATTTTAAAAATCAGCTTTATTTTTCTGAGTTAACGAGTTGATTATCTCAGAATTACGAGCTTGCTTTCATTTCTCAGCACAACACCGGCCGGCGCCTCACGTTATGTGAACATGTCTTATCATCCTGACTTATTTATCACGTTATCTTGAGATAACAACACAATTGTTTTCTCTAGATAACTCGATGATGTTCTTGTGACCTAGAAAACAGGTTGCTAATTGTGATCGGCCAAAACATCATATTGTGCTGCCATTGCCCAAACTAATCAGCTAAGTTCAGACTATTTCCCTCTTTGGTTTTTTTCTTTTGCAACTCTAAGAGTGCAAGAAAAATAAGTTAAGATCTCTAGGAAATAAACCAGAAATGATTCCTTATCACAGGGAAACAGGATTCTTTCAAATGTACTGATGCATGTCCACTTGTTTTTTCCACTGTGATATTTTTCATTATCTATTTCTTTGTTTAATCTTTCATAATATACCTATTGCTGCCATTAAAGTTTTTATTTCTCATCTGTTAAGTCCTTAGTGAGGGACTTTGGGCTTCATGTTTGTATGCATGAAAGTGTGAAGCAGAAGTGTGCAGGAAGTCAGGGGATAATCTTGTATTGCTTATTACTTTTCAAACGTTATGCTTCTTTTGAACTGTTGCATAAAACGACGTCACACCAGACTATCAGCACAGGCTGTGATTGGGTCGAAGATGATGATCGCAGCCGTGCTGATAATCAGAACTGCCTCTGGTGTGATGTTGCTTAATAGAAGTGTAGTATAATAAGAAGGAGGGGATGTTAATACACTCACCGGTGGTCCAGGGTAACCCCTCTCTCCCCTCTCACATGAACACGTCTTTGTCTGTGGGCACTGAAAAACAAACAGGCAAAGAGTTGAATGGAAGACAAACATTCAACGATGTTCATGGAAGGTGTGTGTCAGTGTTTGTCTTTTTGTCCTATTGAATGCGTTTTATGCAGCTGATTAAAAGTAAACAGGGTCCAAAAGAAAACAAAGACAGAGATGGTCTTTTGAAACTACTCACCCGAGTTCTTACTATGAGGTTCTGCAAGAAATCAAAGACAAAGAGAGAGAGTTACTTATCGTCCCGTCCTGCAGGAATCATAAAAAATCAAACTTCAGAGACTCTTATGCATCATGTAAAGTCCTTTTTTATTTCTTAATTTAACAAATTTGATGAACTATTTTCCTATCTCGTAAAGCACAAATGAAGTCTTCTTTAATGTTTTGAATGTTGCGTTTACCTTAGATACAGTAAATGGACTTAAGATTGTATATTTCTTTTCTGGTCTTCTGACTACTCAAAGCACTTTTACACAGGTCACACCTACACATTCACACCCTGATGGTAGAGGCTGCTATGAGACCATCAGAAGTAACTAATTTATTCATATGCCGCAGACAAGCAGCGGCAGCAGCTTGAGGTTAAGTGTCTTGCCCAAGGACACATCGGACATGTGGCTGCAGGAGCTGGGGAATCGAACCCCCGACCTTCAAGTTGAGAGACGACCGACTCTACTAACTGAGCCTCAGCCGCCCCATAGATGAAACCCTTCCACATGTGAGAGCAGCAAACTCTGATTATTATCATTTTGACTTCTTGTCTTTGGTGTATTCCTATGACACTGAATGAAATGAACTCACGATCTCTCTGCAGATTTATGTTCTGCTTTTTCCTGTAGAGGTCTGAATCTATCATCATCAGACTGAATCAAGACTACAAGCCAAACTCAAAGGAGACTCACCAGTTCGTTATAGAGTTTGTCGTCCAGGTTGCTTTGTGTGAGGCTGAAGACGTGCTGCTGTGGGGGGGCGCTGGCAATGGATCGGAGTTTAGCAGTCATGGAGTTTAGCAACCAAATCTCTCTGGACACATCCGACAGCCCGATGGTGAAGACCTCGATGTTCTGCTGCTTTGCCTCAGCAGCAGCCGTGACGGCGCTGGGGCTGCGTGGGTGGTCCATCCCGTCGGTCATGAGCAGCGCCACCCTCAGGCTGTTGGAGGACGTTTCACGGCTGAACACCTGCGTGGCGTTGGTGATGGCGTAGGCGGTGTAGGTGCCGTGGCCGATGAAGGCCATGGAGGCCACGCGGCTCTGGAAGACGTCCACGTCCTGCCAGTCCCTGAAGTTGTGCTCGACAGTCACAGTGCTGCTGTACTGCAGCGCGGCAAGTCGCAGACGCAGGCGCCAGCCAGCCGAGTTCAGCTGCATCAGCTTGGTGCTGAAACGCAGGACAAAATCCTTCTGCTGCTCAAACACCAGAGATGTGGCTTTCTCTGAGCTGTCCACGATGAACATGATCTCCACCGGGCACATCAGGGCTGAGGGGGGGGGGAGAACAGCAGCATGACATTCTGAGAGAAACCATTTAGAGAAGTTTAAAGTTGCAGGTAACTCGATGTGTTAATAAGGGCTGTCGGTTTTAAATAGAGCATTGTGATCGCATGCTATTTTGTCCCTTTAGGCTCACCGTAGATAATCGTCCTCAGTGTCTCCCTGTAGTCTCAGTGATGTAAAAGAAGGACATCTTTGAAAGTCTCATTTCACTTTAACAAACGCTCAGACAGCTCAGCTGACAAGTCCACAGTAATATCCACCTCATGACATCACACATTGACCTCATGACATCACACACTGACCTTTGTCATCGTTCCTTTGAGCTGTTCGACGTCAGTTTGTGATCACTAACCACTTCCTGTTTCTGTGCTTAAGTTCAGGTCCTAACCCTCCAACTACTAGACGGTTCTTAATTTATTTAAAAAATAAAAGCACGGTTGATTTCAAATCAGAGAGTAAAATGCAATACAGTACAAACATTCAAAATAAAAGCCTAAAAAGTTTTATTTTTAAATGTGAAATAATTTTTTCAAACATGTGATTTAACTAACGAAATTTAGCTATTAAAAATGTTAATAATTTGAAAGCCCTGATGTTTATCAACATCAGTTCTACAAAAGGACTAGTTTCTGTTGGTCCAGAAAAAGACTGCTTCACCCTTTGGTTTGAGTATCTTGATGACGAAATGTCTGAGTTTCAAACTAAAAACCTGGCCATAAATCTTCCCCGTCAGTATCATCAGATACTTTCTGCTCAAATTGTGGGCTCAAAAAAGAGCTTGAGCTCTGGGTCGAAACGAACAGTTGGTACCAACGTTTTTGGGGTTGCTTCAGCTTCATTTTGGTGCTGCAGAAGAATCTGTAGTGGCTGCATTGTAATCTTTGAATGCCAGTGTACACTTACTTTTGGCCTGATTGATGATGATCTGGTTGTCATCTCTCTGGCCCTTCCTCCGTCTCTTCTGACACCTGACTGGGCTCCACAGAGTCAAAGTGAGGATCAGAACCTTCAGGATCCACCGCAAAGTCATCGTTCAGTCCTGCTGCTCAGCCTGGATGTACAAGATATGAATATAACAGAAGCATCACGGTTACACTCTTTTCTCTATGCACCTTTAAAAACACATCGTCTGTCCTCAACATCTGCCATGAAGCATCGCTCTGAAGCAGAGGCTGCAGTGATTTCATACCAACACAAGGGGGAGACACCTGGCTCACACGCCACAGATTTGAGTTCCTTCATGTAGACAGGTTTATGGGTCAAGAAACTCAGGTATCTGCTCTGTGTTACAGCTGCTGTCTGATATTATATCACTGTAACCTTCACCTCTATTTGGCTCATACTAGTGCAGGTACTATTTATGCTTTTCTAATACATTTACTGCTGCAACAACTTCAACATCCCTACTATTACGACTGCTGATATTAGCTCGTTCACTTTCTATCGGTGGTTAGTTTCCCTTAATATTTCTGCAAATGTTTAATTTAATTATTTTTTATACATATTGTATTTCCTAAATGTTATATATTTTATGGTCATTATTTCTTAGGCTTTGTTGTCCACATGGGGAAATTCCTCTTCACAGCACGGTCTCTGTCCAAAACAGACAACACACACACAAAACACAAAAGTACAAAACAGAGCGAAACAACAATCAAGAGTTCCCTTTCTGCAGGGATCAGGCTTTTCCCAAGGCGAGTCCTCCTGCACCTCAGTGCTCTGTACCTCTGTCCTCACCTGTGCTCTTTTTCATTTCTAATGTATCTGCCTTTTCTGTTTTTTATTCATCATCTAGTAAAGCAGGTAATGATATTCTCAAAGATAAGCTGCATTTGAATAGAGCTGTAACTTGAATAATTCTGGTCGTACTTGAGGTCATCGTGGACAGTTTTGCAGATTGATAAGCTGCACTGATTTATGCCAGAGTTGGATTATTGTGTCGATGTGATCACGTTCATTAATTTTCCCGCTTCATAATTAAATGTAAATGCACTACAACATCCTGTGTGGTGAGTTCATCCCTGAGTCGTACAACAACAAAAAAATCATCAATCAACTTTATACCACAGTAAACCTTATATGGGTTACAGAAGGTATCAATACCCTTAAATATTGGGATTTTATGTTTTCATCCTTTATCTATTGCAGAGAGCAGTGTTACGAGGTATCATGCAAACATTTAATCACTCACTCAGGCAAAGGTGGAATGATTTGCTCAGATTTCATAAAAACTTGTGCGTTGATGCTGGATGTGACGGAGACTCACCTCACAGGGTGATTACAAACTCAGAAAGTTTCCCTCCTTTTTTAAATATTGAAATCACAGATGATATGTTCATTATGGTGTATTCGTGTTTGTTATACTGGGACTGTTTTCCTAAAATCATATCGCAACTTTTGCAAAACTACAACATATTGCAAAGATTGTATTTTAACCGCTATGTTGTGATATTTGGTCATTTAAACTTCAGTTCAGCATGCAAAATGTCAATCATCACCCCTCATCACTACTATCACTAATCTATATAACTTTACATTTCCAGCAATTAACAAGAAAAATATCAGCTTCTTGTAGGACTGTTACTATAACTAGCTCTATTTAAATGCTGCGCTTACACTGTGAATGCCTATTAAATACTTTTTTATAGTTTAACTCCTAGAACTATCACTACCCTTAACTTCTGGACATACCTGTAGCCTGCTATCAATACTTGTAGTTTGAATCTTGTGCCAAAGCAAACAGTTTTATTTTGTATTATACCACAGAATAACAACTACCACCTCCAAACATACATCTCATATTTAAAATAAAGTAATCTTGAGATTTTCCCTGATTAATAAATTCCTAGATGGAAGTTGTTTCAGACTCTTCACCCCTCATCACTACTACTCCTGGAAATAACAGTAAAATGACAGCTTCTTGTAGGACTGTTACTATTACTAGCTCTACTGGAATGCTGCTTAGCACTGTTAATGACCATTACATACTTAATTACAGTTTAATTAGGCCTACTGTGCTTTTGGACATACCTTTACATGGTAAAACTTCTATCAAACGTCACAAATTGCTTGCATTTTTGGTGCAAAAATCACTGCTACCAGTGCTATTACAACTACTACTGCTGGACATAATTCCAGTTAGTATTAAAATAATTATAATAATATCATTCTAGTCTAGCAATCGTAGATTTAACTCTGTATTTCCCTTGATTAATTGTTTTTTTTTTTTTTTACTCATGAAACAGAATGATTTGGTTTTTATTCTTCTGATACATCTCATTTTTCTTTAGGATATTTCAAATAAAACATTAATCTTCAAAAGGGAATAAAAGTAAACTAAATATAAACGCACCTGTGTGTAGATGAAGTCAGAGCTGCAGGTTAATCCATCAGTCAGAGCAGCAGACTGTTTCACTGTGAGGCTGCAGAGACACTCAGACACAGGTCCACTCAGACCTGCAGCAGCTCTCAGCGCTCACTACCAGCTGACACTTCCTGTTGCCACCTTCACAATAAAACTGCCCTTCGAGCAACTTCCGATTGTTGCTGTGTGTATCTTGAAGTTAGAGTAATATCACATTTTAAATATTGGGGCTTACTGATGTGGTCAAAACTTTATTTTGAAGGACTATAAGTAGCCCTGCACAGCTAGGACTTTTGTAAACATCACATATTTTCTGCTCTTATTGTGAAATACAGTTTTATCTGATTGCTTACTGTAACAGAGCTGACAGATTACTGATTCAGATGCTGCTTTCGTGTTCTCCCTAGGAATTATCGTATTCACCGTATTTACGAGTTATTAGCAAACGAACGCCCCTCCAAAGTCGTAGAGAGATGATCCCTGAGCTTTAGTTGCGCTATATGCTAACAAGTCTAATTTTAGCAATAAAGCTAGCTATTTAAGAAAATACAACAAGTTAATTATAATATTATTTATTTCATATAATCTGCAGCTGAAGCACAAAGGAGCTCAGTGCTACTTGCTTTTGGTAATTAAACATCAGCCACGTAAAATCAACCTTACTTCTAACGTGCATATGTTGATTTTTTTCGGACCACAGCACTTGACTGCGTGTACGATGTCGTTACGACTACACAACTTGGGAAGTACGATTCGTCCGAGGGTGCGTGTGAAGGCAGCAAAAGTGACTGCAAATTCATCAGTAAAACCAGAAACATGTATCTAAATTTTAGATTATTGTAGTGTGCCTCAGCCTCTTCCATAAAATCTCTGACATAAAATCGGAGAAATTGAGAATTTGCAAGCAGAGTCTGCACAGTAGGGACTGCTTGCTACTGACGTCACGCCACATCCGCGAGCGAAAAAACACACGTTTAGCTTACAGATAAAATTGTGAAAAATCCCTCAGATGGGTTCAGTCACCAGCAGAACAGATTCCTGTGTTGGTTTGGGTTTCAGGGTTATGGAAATTCAATGACTCTTGTGTTAGTGTCTGTTATGTTTTCTCTCGCCATTTCTGCTGTACTCTGCTAACCCGCTGCACACAGCGCCACAGGAGCTGCATTCGTCAATCGAGCTGCAAATCATAGCATTTTTTTACCGTTTTATAGCATCAAACACAGAGTTTGAGACAAATGTATCTGATTTAATTTTACAGTCTGACCCATGACCTGTCCTGCAGCCACTCAGCAGGGGGAGTTCTAAATATTTTGGCTTCACTGCCTGGTGGCTGCTGCTCTGTCCATCTTAATACACAGTCTATGATTCAAACACACCATTAGGCTACCTTACTAATTCAATAGTTTTAGATACACTCACTCTGAAGCTTTTTGTCCTTCAAATTTCATCCACTGTTGATGTAAAATACTGACTCAAGCTACTTTAAGTTCTTGACTTTTAAAACAATATTTTTTCCTTAAGCATTATTTGACCTTTGCTGCGATAACCACTTTTTGTCAAACTTGCTGATTAATAATCTCCCCCTGCAGGGTTCAAATGAGATATGAACCTCAGA